CCTCTCTGTGTCTCTCATGAATAAATAAATTTTTTAAAAAAAAGACGGCTAAAATTCACATAACTGTGCGCGCACACACACACAGGCAATTTTTTAAGATGCAAACAAAAGCACAGTCACTTCCCAGGAGAGAAATGGCATGATTTTAGGGACAAAGTGTTGCAGGGGGACTTTGGTTTTTTCCTCTCCAGGTTTTTGTAAATGTTTTTGCAATGAGCATGCATTACTTGTTATTTTAATTAAAAACCCATAAATAGGGGATCCCTGGGTGGCGCAGCGGTTTAGCGCCTGCCTTTGGCCCAGGGCACAATCCTGGAGACCCGGGATCGAATCCCACATTGGGCTCCCGGGAAGCAGCCATGGAGCCTGCTTCTCCCTCTGCCTGTGTCTCTGTCTGTCTGTCTGTCTGTCTCTCTCTCTCTGTGACTATCATAAATAAATAAATATATAAAATTTAAAAAAAATAAAAAATAAAAACCCATAAATAGGGTCCCGTTGCAAAACATAAACCAACATATGTATTCTTTTTTTTAGAAGATTTATTTATTTTAGAGAGAGAGCAGATATGCATATGCAGCGAGGAGGGGGGCAGGGGGAGAAGGAAAGAATCTCAAGCAGACTACCCACTGAGCAGGGAGCCCGCACCGAGGCTCCATCTCACGACCCTGAGATGATGCTCTGAGCCCAAATCAAGAGTCTGACCCTCAACTGACTGAGCCACCCAGGTGCCCCTAACGGATGTATTCCTTTTTAGGATTTTATTTATTTAATAGGGAGAGAGCACAGGCAGGCAGAGCGGCAGGCAGAGGGAGAGGGAGAAGCAAGCTCCCTGCAGAGCAGACGCGGAGTTCAATCCCAGGACCTGAACCCAGGGCAGAAGCGTAATGGACTGAACCACCCAGGCGCCCCTAATGTGTGTACTCTTAATAGAAAGTAACACCAGGGGTCTTGAAAGAAAATCGCACAGCAGACACCACTTTCTTTTGAGTTCTAGACACAAAGCCGACAGCGAGGGATCCTCATTCAATACCAAGATGACTGTGCAAATAAATAAATCTTGATACCACAGACACAGCTAAGGAGGGGACGTCATGGTATGTTCTCCCCGTTGGAACCCATATGTTCAGAGAGCATACATGTCTCTGTAAAGGGGAACACGCCACAGCATCCCCAAGCATTCCTGATGCGCTCATGTCGTACCAGGGGCCACGCAAGCGATTAGGCATGTCATCATGATCCTCAAGGAGTCTGTCATAAATCAGGAGTCCGAAAACTCTCCCCAAGAAGGACCAAGGTACACACATTTCTATGGGCCATGCAATTGCAACTACTCAACTCTGCCATTAGGGCACAAAAGCAACTGTTAGGATGATGCCAATAAAACTTTATTCACAAAACCAGGTGTGGGCAGGCGGGAGTTGGCCTGTGGGCCACAGTTTGATAGCCCCTCTTCTAGATGAAGGAGTTTGACTACGTAAATTCACAACTGGGCTGAGAGTGGATGGCAGTAGGGATTGGCCCTCTAGGAAGAGAGAGCTAACATCTGAGCCCAGGGAAGGGAGCAGAGAGGATGGAGAGAGAGCCAGGTGCAGGTGAAAACTCTGCAGGAAACCGTGCCTTCCTGCCCTCCCCGAGGGGAGGGAGTGGACAGTGGCAGGCCCAGAGAGGTCAGCTGGGGTGAGGCGACAGGAGTCACACTTGGGAGGTGAGGGATTACCTTCACAAGAGCCATCGGCAAAGCAAAGCGATGGAGACATTAGCCAGATGCTGCGGGCAGCACAGTGGGCCAGAGGTGAGAGGGAGGGTGGTTAGAGCCCACCGGGGGAGGCTTGGCAGGGGGAGGCTGGAGACGGGTGGTGGGCTGGGGGTCGAGGGGCGGGGTATTGATCCTGGAACAAAGAGAGCAGGGACCCAGGTGGGTAAGTGTCCTAGACGAAGAAAAAGTTATCTTCCTGAATGTGGCTGTTCTCCACTGGGGCGGCTGGCAATGCCCAGAGACACTCTTGATTGTCATGACTGGAGGGAGGGACGTGCTACTGGCATTTTGTGGGTGGAGAAGCCAGGGATGCGGCTCCACTCCTCACAATACACAGGACAGCCAGCCCCCCCACAACCGGGAACTGTCTCAACCCAAATATTAAGAGCGATGAAGTTGAGGGGATCTACTCTATCCAGGTTGAGTCACTGACGGAGTGGGCTGCAGTGGGGACCCCAGGGAGCCCCACCCCAATGACCTCCATGAGTGAGTGGGACAAGGATGGTGGGCAGGGCTCCAGGAGGGAAGCAAAAGTTAAGAATAACCTCAGGGAGGTTAGGAAGTAGGCAAAAGTCCTGCTCCGAGGGCCCCCAAAGCACACAGGAGGACACACAAGAGAGACATCCGAGGCCACCCTTGAGAAATGAGGAGTGCCCGAGAAACCAGGGCACTCTGGAAGCGAGCCCCTCACACCTTAATTAGCCAACTCGCTGGACTCCCCCCGAAGCCCCGCAGGTTTTTCTTTTAATTAATCCCACATTGTCTTCATCCTTTAACTTTGCAATGCCCCCAAGTAATCTCAGGCCACAGCCAGCCAGTCCGAGGAGAAACAGAGGGGGAAGGCACTGCCCATTTCAGCAGAGCAGTAGGGACTCCACGGGAGAGCGGTCCAAAGTAGCACATCCCATAGGACATCCCCCCCTAAGAAAGCCCTTCACTTCTTAAACATCACACCGCCACCACCCCAACCAAGACGCCCTACAGGTTGACATTAGAGATTAATGATCTGTAAAGTTTCTCGAGGTTTCCGAACCTCTGAGGGGCATCACATCTCATTTATTCAATAGGATTTTGTTAACCATTACCACAGGTCGGGGGGGGGGGGGAGGGAAGCTCAAACCCAAGAGAGCAACCCTTTATGAAGAAACCAGTGCTCTGCAGCCAGGCCAAGTGGGGTCCTCATCCCAGCTCCGCCGCCTAGTCAAACTGCCTCACCTGCGAAAAAGGATAATAAACCCCACCCCACAGGGCCGTGGTGGGGATTAACTAAGATTATATACTCGGAGCACATGGAAAAGCCCCCGCCAAGAGCTTGCTCTTATGACTATGTCGAAGTTGGGTATTATCCGAGGAATAAAAAAGCCATAGCTTGGAGTACTGGTGAGAACACGAAGAATATGAGCTGAACCAAGAACAAATATTTTAACCAAACACCTTCTATGTGCCAGGCACTGTTCTAGGCTCTGGAAACGTCGCAGTGGACGAAAGAAGCATATGCCCCTGCCCCTGTGGAAACTGTAGACGTGTAAAGAAGCGGTAAATCGGGATCCCTGGGTGGCGCAGCGGTTTGGCGCCTGCCTTTGGCCCAGGGCGTGATCCTGGAGACCCGGGATCGAATCCCACGTCGGGCTCCCAGTGCATGGAGCCTGCTTTCTCCCTCTGCCTGTGTCTCTGCCTCTCTCTCTGTGTGACTATCATAAATAAATAAAGAAAAAAATATTAAAAAAAAAAAAAAGAAGCGGTAAATCCACCTCCTGGGCCCTGGAAGCCCAGGCACAAGTCCACAATAAATTACCAAAGCTACGAGGAACGGAAGAGCAGGGAACCACACACACACACATGCACGTGTGCAGACGCACGCACATACATACATACACAAATCCTAGACTAGTCCTAACATTTGTCTGGAGTTTCTTAACAAGAACCCAAGCCGACTGCCACCTTTATTGAGCGCCCGCTGTATACCAAGCACTTGGGCCTCGGAACCGTGGGGTAACTGGGAGAGGAGCTCCGCAAACCTGGATTGTCAACGCCAGAGCCTGTGTGTGCTTTGCCGGGGACCTCATTCCCCATCAGGGAGCTCAGGAGCTGCTTTCCTTCCCTCCCCGACCCCTTCCTCACCATGACTGATTTCCTTTTATGGACAATTCTGAAAAAGTAACCCAACAGATATTTTTAAAGCGGGGCCTCAGACACCAGTGGGGAAACTCCAGCCATGTTCTCTTAAAGGTTCTTCATTTCTTGCCCCACAACCAGAAAGGACGGCGACCAAGGCCGATGCTGGAGTTGGGGTTTGCCTCCATCTGCTGCCAGCGCAGGGAGGCTGGGGAGGGAAGTCCATGGGGCTAGGGGGTGTGAGAGGCTCTCCTGAGGTTAGAGACCTCCCTGGACTGGCAGGTAAAAGAGCCCTTGTGAAAGGCAGAGCTGGAGGGGGTGTGTGGGGGTTATGGGGAGACATGGGACATGCAGCAGCAGTCCAGAGCCTCCCCAGGGCACCACACAGAGAGGTTAGAGTCCTCCTTCTGGCCCTGACTTTAGGGCAAATCGAACCGTCTCCTACCTCAGCCTCAATTTACTCCTCTATGAAATGGGTAACGCGTATGGACCTCCGGAGGCCACTGTGAAGGCCCAGAGAGATCAGCCCGGGGCATTTGGTGACCCTAACTATAATAATCATAATAAAGACCACCTCCCCCCACCCCCAGCCCCCGCCCCCTTCTGCTACAACAAAGGCCCTGTTGCCAAGGCGCTAGAGTTTGCCTCCGGACATCTGGAAACAGAACCCAAAAGTGTAAACATGGATCTGAAGTCCGGGTAGCCACCGGCCTAGGTCCAAGCAGAGGGGTGGGATTCTGCAGTGCCCCGCCTGGGGCGCCCATCAGCGGAGACCCCAGGGGCCCCGTGCGCCCGCGGCACGCGGTGCTCCCAGGTCGCCCGGACCCGGGGACCCAGCGGGCACCCGGGCCGCGTCTCCGGGGCGAGCGGGGCTTGGAGAGGGCCAGGCACGGGTGCGAGGCGCGTCGGGAGAGGCGCCCGCGGCGGGGCGGGCACTGGGGCAAGGTTCCTCGGGCCCGGGGCCCCGCACGCGGGCGCAGGACCGCGAGCCCAGGCGGGCAAAGGCCAAGGTCAGCGGCTTCCCGCCGCGGCCGCCCGCGCCCCCACACGCGCCGGGGAGGGCGCGGGGTCCCCGGGGGGCGCCCCCCCACGGCGCCCGCCCGCCGCCCCTCCGGGCCCCCGGACTCACCCTCTCCGGGGTACAGGTGGCCCGCGGCACCCAGCAGCAGCGCGGCCACCGCCAGCAGCAGCGGCGCGGCGGCCGCCCCCCGCCCGGCCCGGGCGCCCATGGCTGCGGGAGCGCGGGGTCCCGGCGGCTCAGAGCGCGCGGCGCCGGCCCGCGGGGGTCATGCTCTGCGGCGCCGGGGCGCGCGCCCTGCTCTCCGCGCCCGCGGCCCCGCCCGGGAGGGCCCCCGCTCGGCCCCCGAGGGGCGCGGGGCCTCGCCGCTGCAGATCCCGCGGCGGCGGCGGCGGCGGCGGCGGCCCCGACCCGGACCCCCGCGGCCCGGGCCCCGTCCCGCGATCTCAGGGCCCGGAGCCCCTCGCTGCGCCCCGGCCGCCCGGCTCTCCGCCCCGAGCGCGCTGGGCCGCGGTCTGCGAACGCCGAGACAGACGGACGCGCGGACGGACAGACGCGCGGACGGGCGGGCGGGCGGGCACCTGGGCTGGCGAGCGGCGGGCGGGCGGCGGGAGCGAGGGCTGCTCGGCCCGTAAACAACGCGGCCCGTCAGCTGGGCCCCGCGCGGGTCGCGGGAAAAGGCGGCGCGGATCGAGACTCGGAAGGGACTCGGCGCCCGGGAGAGGCCCGGGAGAGGCCCGGGAGGGGGAGGCAGGACGGCCGCGGGGAGGCGCCGCCCCGCCCGCCGCCCTCGCCCGCGCCCCCCGCGCTGGAGGCGCCCCCGCCCCCCTCGCGCCCCCGCCCCCCCGCCCCCCCCCGCGCCCCGGCGTCTCAGGCCTCGGGGGCGCCCCCGATGCCGACCCATCCGGACGGATCCCTTCCGTAACATTTTCTTGCTATTTCGTTTCCCTTGTGGACTTTGGGAGGTTCGGTTTGATTTTTTTTTTTTTTTAAGATTTCATTAAAACGCTGTTTATCTTGGTCCCCGGGGTTTCTGGTACTCCCGTAAATGTTGCGCTCGCGTCACCCTCGTCCCAGTCCTGCCAGCGCGTCTCGGACTAGACGCGAGGGCGCCCCCGCCCCCCCCCGCCCCCCCCGCGCCCGGGGCCCTGGGGACGGCCACGTGCACGCGCGCCCGGGGCGCTCCGTGTGCTCCGTGGCAGGGGCGAGGGAGGGGGGCCTCAGGCGCGGCCTGGGGTGCAAGTCGGAGAAGAGACACCTGGGACGATGTGCAGAACCTCGCAGAAGAGCGAACCAGGCCCCACAGAGCCGGGTTCCAGCGCAGGTGGACACACCCCGCTTCCAATGCACAGACCCACAGTCCCTGTGTGTGTCTGAATGTCCAGCAAGTGGCATTCACGAATAGGGCACGACAGCGGCCAACCCACCTTCCCGAGCTGGGGGAAGGAGCCTTAGGTATAGAAAGCCAGCACCGAGTGGAATCTGGCTCCCCCTCCCCTCACTTCCTGTGTGGCCTTGGACGTGGGACTTTACTCTCTGGCTGGGTTGGCCTCGGCTCTATAATGCCTGTGACAATCCCTGCCGGTCCGATTTGACGAGGTGCAAGAGCAATAAAGCATAAGAAAGCGCCCGGCACAATTCTAGGCAGAGGGCGCTCATTCTTCCCCTGGTCCATTAAGCAAATATTAGTTAGCCAGGAGCTGAGCCCACTGTTCCTCTAAGGCACCAAACCTAATCCTGCCTCCTGGCTTTCACTCTGGCTGTTCCCTCTGCCTGTCCCTCCAGTGGCTGGCTGCCCCTCGGTGCCCCAGTGAGCCTTCCCTGATCACACTTTGCAAACGCCGCCTCCCCCCCCCCCCATCCCTTTGTTCTGGTCCCTGTTATTTACATCGCTCCAGTATGTCCTGAAATTCTTTGGGTTTTTTGTGTATGGTCTCCCCACTCCATGAAGCAGAAATTGTGTCAATCTTCTTCACTATTTTACACCCAGCGCCTGATAATCTGTTGCTTAATAAATATTTGTTGAATGGAAGAACCAACATGCAATAATAAGTAATGAGGATTTACAGTGAGCAAAATAAACACACTCGGTTTCCCTATAGACCTCACAGTCTGGCGAGAGAGGGGATCGTTGATTAAACAATCCTGGGGCCTAACGTGGGGTGGGGGTGGGGGGTAGGGAAAGGATCCTCCCAAGGAGGTGAGTTGAAGCTGAAATCTGGAGATGAGGAGGAGTCAGCCAAGGAAGACAGGGGGGAAGTGTTACAGGTTGGGAGCCCAGCAGGAGCAGGGGCCCAGAGGTGGACAGGCAGGTGTTCCCCCAACTGACCCAGGCACTGGAGCTGGAGCACAGACGGAGGTCAAGCAAGCGAAGGTGGACTCAAAAACAGAATTAGAAGGGGAAGAGCCTTGGATAGATCATGTTAAGCCCTCTCCCAAAACACCTTCATCTTAAAAGCAATGGGAAGCTACTAGAAGGTGTACACAAAAGGGCTGACATAATTTGATTTTCTTTCCAATAATATCTGCGATGGGGCAAACATAGACCCAGAGAGAACAGAGTAGCTGCAGTCCCGGAGTATCAAGAATTGTAGGTTCAATAAGTGTTGTTCCCCTTCCTTCTTGTGCAAACCTGTCCAGAGCTGTGGGCTTCCCTCTGACCCGTGGGAGCCCCCAAAATCACCACCTTCCCAGACAGGAAGTGTGTGCTGAAAACCACGCGGAAGGAAACACGCTGTCCTCTGGAAATCCTTCAGGACAAGGACTTGCGTGCTGGACCTAAGTCGAAAGAATCATTTCGACTGATCATTTCAGTTGTGACCTGAAAATGAAGACACCACCACTTCCTGAAACCACTCACTGTTTCTTTCGCAAAACCCTCCAAGCCCTCCAAAAAAACAGCCATCTAAAAATTGAAAGTCAACCCCTGCCTTTTATTAAAATCATTGGAACAGAAGCAGAGACACCACCATCTGGCAATCTCTGACTAATTGATTCGGGCGAGAACCCTCTGTGCATGCCAAAACTAACGGTTGGACTTTTAAGAAGCAAATATTTCCACGGTCTCCAAGTATCTCTCTGCAAGATACTTGTTCATAATAAAGGAAAGGAAAAACAGTAGCTTCCTAGAGGAGAAAGCTGGCGGACATCACCTTAAATTAAGTGATCAAAGTTGCTTCTGGATTTCCTTTTGCCGTGTAAGACATTTCCGGGACAACTGGGGAAGACTTAAAAGGTCCATCAATTATATTACTATAGTATTGAATTAGTATTGAATCAATAGTAATTTGATCGTCGTGCAGAGACGGTGTGAGAGAACGTCTTTGGTTTTAGGAACTACATACGGAATGAAATATGGAGGGATAAAGGGCAGAATGTCTGCAACCGGCTTTCAAATCATTTTGAAAAAAAAAAGAGAGAGAGAGAGAGAAAGAACAAAGTAGATGTGATCAAGTTTGATAAAATTTGTAACTCTGGGGCACCTGCGTGGCTCAGTGGTTGAGCATCTGCCTTGGGCTCAGGTCAGGATCCCGGGGTCCTGGAATCCAGTCCTGCATCGAGCTCCCCGCAGGGAACCTGCTCCTCCTCCTGCCTATGTCTCTACCTCTCGCTCTGTGTCTCTCATGAATAAATAAATAAAATATTTTTTAAATAAATTTGTAAATCTGGTGAAGAGTGTGGACATAGGGGTTCACTGTACTATTCATGCAGCTCTGCATGGAGTCCAACAGCATATCAAAATCAAAAGTTTTAAATTTTGAAAAACTATTTGGGGTAGGGCTCCTGACTAGCTTAGTGGGTAGAGCATCCGACACTGATCCCCAGGGCTGTCAGTTTGAGCCCCACATTGGGCGTGGAACCTACTAAAAAAAAAGCTATTTGGGGCTTTTTATTTCACTTTGTTTTTGTTAGATCGGCTTCGGTTTGACATTTAAACACATTGTACTCTGAATGCATAATCTAAAGAGAAAGAAAGGTTGGTTCATAGTTCACGAATAGAGGCAATGAACACTTCTGCTGCCCATCAAAGAGGGCTTGGGGAGACGTCCCCATCAACCTGCTGGGGGTTTTCTCTTAACGGGTCCTTCTGGCGGGAAATCTCCTCAATCTAGCTGTTTTCCATTTCATTGAAGCAGGAAACCAAATGTAAATCCAGACTCCTATGTTGTCATGGAAACCCGCTTTAATACATTACATTTAGAGTCAGGAGGGAAAATAAGAAAGTACAGACTGAGTTCATTTGTGAATAACAGTGCAAAAACCCAGCATGGAGAATTTACTAACAGAACCAGGCAAATTAAAACACACACACACACACACACCACCACCACCACTAACAGCAGGATCAAGCGGAACTCAGCCCAGGAGTGCAAAGATGGTTCAATGCTAGGAAGTCTAGCCACCAAGATTATTGTGGGTTTTTTTTTTAAGATTTTATTTATTTGGGATCCCTGGGTAGCTCAGCGGTTTAGCACCTGCCTTCAACCCAGGGCGTGATCCTGGAGACCCGGGATCGAGTCCCGTGTCGGGCTCCTTCTCCCTATATCTCTGCCTCTGTGTGTGTGTCTCTCATGAATAAATAAATAAAATCTTTAAAAGATTTCCAGTTATTTATTTATTCATGAGAGACACAGAGAGAGAGGCAGAAACATAGGCAGAGGGAGCTTGATGCAGGACTCAATGCCGGGACCTTGGGATCACAACTTGAGCCAAAGGCAGATGCTCAACCACTGAGCCACTCAGGTGCCCCCAAAATTGTTTTAATAGATCCGAGGAGAGAAGGCACATGAGCCTCTACTGCGATACTACAAATGTATTTGATGAACTGCAAAGCCATTCAAGAATGAAACCATAAGACTCTACAGTGGGGAAATACTATCTCATAACTTCAAAGCAGAGAATATCTCTTTAAGCAAAGCACAAGTCCCAAATCTAAAAATCCAAAAATAACAAAAATTTGGCTATGTAAAAACTAAGATTATAAGAATAGCAAAAAAAATCATACATACAGTCAAATCTGATTTGTAAAAGTGAGAAAAAATTTAAGTGAGAAAAGAGTAAATAAATGACAGATAAAGGACATGCATTATGCTATATTACAAAATATACAAAACATAGTACTGAGATAAAACCCCAAACTTTTGTTTGCCAAAATTTACCTGGTAGAGGACATGAATAAGCAGCAAGTATGTGACACAGAAACAGACTGCTGAAAAGAAAAAAAAAGAATACAAAAGGTATTTAAATATATGAGGATGTTTAGCTTTCTTCATAGTTAGAGATATGCCCACGTCATT